GAGTGGATGTGTCAACTTTTTCTATGTTTGTAAAAACCTTATAAATTGATTCTTTAATTCTAGAACACATAGAACCACGAACACATCTTACTTGGTCTGTTGACTGTTAAAAATTAAATTAGTGACTAGTTATAATCATAAAAAATAATTGATTACAAAAAAAATTCAATAATACAAAAGCTTTTAAATCTTTTCTCCAAATAAGAGGGAACTCTTCTTTAACAAAATATTCTTCACAATTTTTTTCTAAAGTTGTTTTGATAGTCTTCATGAGTTGTTTTTCATCAGGATACATATATCTGCTTAACAAATTCTTTATGCAATGTATAGTTTCATCCTAGACAAAAATAAAAAAATCAATTGCATAGATCTTCTAATCATTATTATAATATTATATTATTGTACCTTCCACCATCCACTATCTTTTCTTGTTGTATTTTCTTTATATTATCTTTTATTTCTTGGTTGGTTTTTAATGTGAGCTCCAATAATTTAGTATTTTGATTTACAAGATTTTTAATATCATTTTCAATTTTCTTTTGATTCTTCAATACAATTTGAATAGCAGAACCAATTTCTAAAAAAATTTACAAATGAGATATATAATAAAATAAATTATTATTGTTAAATGCAAAAAGGGCCTTTATAAAGAACCTATAATAGTTTTTGGTTTTTTTGTGATTTCAAAATCTAAATCTTCTGACAATTCCTTTCTTTTCAATACCACATTGCGACTTTCTAGATCAGTTATTTCAATAAAAGACTCAAGTGTTGATTCTTCTTCTTCTTCAGTAGATAATGAACTAACAATATTAGCAATATTTGCATTTTCTCTTATAGGGAGTGAATTAACACCAGCATTTTTTTTCTTATAGATTGTGAATTTCTTTTGATTGAATTTATGTTATTATTGTTATTTTGGTGAAGTGGAGTTCTTCTTTTAGGTGGCATTGTTACTTATTTTATTTTATTAAATTTAATTTTTTTTTTCAAAGATTTTGATTTTTTTTTACAGTATTTATAAAAGTTTAAAAAAGTTTAAATATAATTAAATTAGCCAATCACATTTCGTATCCAAACTAATATTAATATATTTTAAATCAATATGCCGTTAACATTTAATTGTGAATACTGCAACAAACAATTTAAATCATCACAGTCACATTCTAACCATTTAAGGAGACATGAAAATAAAATTGGTAAAACATTACATTAATATTTTCTTTTAAAAAATAAAAATTTACTAAAATCAATCAATTATGTGGTAATTACTATTTAGAAGATATTGAAGAAATTATGAAAGAAAATTATGAAGATATGGTCCATAATATATGTGTTAATGAAGAGAAAAAAAGAAAAAGTGATGAAATTGATCAAATTTTTGAGGAGAATGATAAAGAGTTATATAACAACTATAATGGATATAATGACAATAATGATATTCATTCTTTTATTGCAAATGTATTATTATATCTTTAATTAAAATCCTGAAAACTCAGAAATAATATTAACTACAATCTCTCATGAATAAAATCAGGAATCAACAGAACTTGATAATGGTTTTTCAAATGTAGTCTATGCAGAATTTATGTCTATGGTAAATCATTTGCTAATTGATCAATTCATTTTTGTTTAAATAATATTAATATATTTTTTTTTTGCAAGATTGTCATTATATTTTTAAAAGTTTAACTGATTATTTTTTTTAAGATTGTCCAATATGATATTTCAAACAAATTAGGTGATGCTATATTAAATTTTTGCAAATCATATTGCAACCCAAAGTTTGAATTACCAACTTCAACTAAATCAGGAAGAAAATATATGGACAAATTAATAAACCCATTTTCCTCATTTAAAAAGACACTTATATTAAAAGATCATGATGTGGAATATTACCTTGAGCATAGATCTATATATAATGCAGTATGTGAACTTTTATCAAATAAAGATATTGCTAAATCATGTGTATTTGACTATAAGGTGTGGTTATAAATGAGTCAATTAAATTCTTATATATTTTTAAACTAATTATAAAAAATTTTTTAGTTTTCTTCAGTTTACAAAGAACAATATAATGCACTATGGTGGAAAGAGGCACAAGAATCTTTATTTCCTGGATCCAAACTTATCTCAATTATATTGTATTCTGATTCAAGCTTATGTGATAAACTTGGAAAAACATCAAAACACCCAATCTACTTGTCCTTAGGTAATATTCCTTATGAAAGAAGGAATAAAGTTGATGCAAAAGTCATAGTAGGATATTTGCCAATTATTAGTTTGAAAGACAAAAATTCATCAACAAATAGGTTATTAAAACTCAAAAGTTTTCAAAATTCAATGAAAATAATCACAGCCCCATTATTTGAACAATTTGAATTAGGGACATATATTAAAAATTTTAGATAATACAATCTTATGTACAATGAAAATTTCTATGATTATAGCAGATTGGCTTGAAGCATCAAGTTTTTGTCTCACATATAGTTCAAGCAATGGTGAACATCCTTGCCATAGTTGCATAACACCAAAAACCAAATTTAATATTATTGATATACCATCATCTGAAATAGTTATACATACTAAAGATCAAACATTACAAATAATTGAAAATGGTTTGGAGAAGAAATATTCTGTATATAATCTTTGGAATATTTTTTGGAATCATTTGTATGTATAAAGAAAATTTTATTTGTTTAATTAAAAAAAATAAAAAAATAATTATTGATTTCCATTTTTTTAATGTAAAATTTCAAAGAAATCTTAACATATACACTGCAGTTATACCAGAAAGACTTCACTGTGATATTGGTTTATTTCAATACCAACTTCAATATACATTTGAGCTTTTAAAAGAATTAAATACTGATTTTATTAAATTAATGAATGAAAGATTCAAAGAGATACCAAGGTTTAGGAATGTCAAGATTTTCAAAAATGGGATTTATAACCTTGCTAATTTTACTGCATCTGAATATAGACAAGTCATGCAACAATCTGTATTTGTATTTGATAACTTAGTTTCTACAAATCAGGATATAGGTAATAATATCACAGAAGTTTACCTTTTATGGATCAGAATGTATCTTTTTAGTTGGCTTACAGAATTTACTGAAGAAAACTTGGAGGATTTTCATGTATATTTTATTTTATGAGAATAATTCAATTATTTTAAATTAATTAATCAATTACCTTAATATTTGAAGATATCAAT